GTGTAGAACAGACATTCGGTTAAAGTAGTTGTGTACCCTTTTCTTCCATATGTGAGGCCGTGATCTTGGTTACTTATCAGTTTGATGGTCTCATTTGATTCCGTTGAACTTTTTGAAGTAAATCACAGGAATGAACTTGATGTTCTTGTACGCGTTTCCAGTTATGAGTATGTCTATAATTATTAGATTTTAGATAGGATGGACCTCTCTTGATGTTCTTTCTAGTGGTTAGGTGGATTTTTTTGTATTTCTTTGCGCTTTATGTGATGCATATATATCATTTTTGCTTGTTCTTGATGTCTCATTGTACCAATAACCTTTTATCGTCTTGTACCTTATGTTGACTTCGTGAAGGACCAATACGATTTAGTTAATCGTCGGTGTTGGTGAAATATTTAGACTGAGATAGCAATCAAAATTTTTCTTTTTCTTACTCTTTTTATCATAACTGTCTCTGCAAGTTCAGTTGTATTTCCCAGAATCAATGTAAGGGACCCTTACAAACGGCTTGGGATAAGCAGGGAGGCCTCTGAGGATGAAATTCAAGGTGCACGAAACTTCCTGATTCAAAGATATGGTGGACACAAACCGAGTGTGGATGCGATTGAAACAGCCCATGACAAGATAATTATGCAGAAGTTTTATGATAGAAAGAACCCCAAAATCGATATCAACAAAAAGGTCAGGGAAGTTAAGCAGTCCCGAGTTGTGCTGGCCGTGACAAACAGATTCCGCACGCCATCAACAAGTTTCATTGTTAAAACAACAGTTGCATTCCTTGTACTTGGAGCTCTCACTGTTCTGTTTCCAACTGAGGAAGGCCCAACCCTTCAAGTAGCTCTCTCTCTGGTGGGTACTATGTACTTCATATATGACCGATTGAAGAGCAGACTGAGAGCTGTGCTTTATGGGTATGTGTTATATGCTTGCTTCCACTTCCATTTTGTTTTCACTTGTCTGCTAAATGGAGTGGTAAAGATTTTGCACTTGTTTGTTTCCAATGTTGCAGGGTTGCAGCTTTCATTTTCTCATGGCTGATCGGAACCTTCTTGATGGTATCTATAATCCCTCCAGTACCAATAATTAAAGGACCTAGGAGCTTTGAAGTGATAACTTCGTTGCTAACCTATGTGCTGCTGTGGGTTTCCTCCACCTATCTGAAGTAACAACTGATTCCTGCCCCAAGTACTTAGCTCTTTATAAGACAGCGATTTTGGTGGGAGGTGAGATGGCTTTCTTTAGTTACCGTTAGTTGTTTAACTTGGGCATCTAGTTGATTTTTTTTCATGTTTTCCAATGAGAGCGGCAATGTTTCTAGAAATTTTTATCAGGGGAGTTGGTAATAGGAGCAAATAGTTGTTGAAGAAAGGGACTTTTATGCTGGAAGATGAAAGTGAGTCTTCAGTTGTGTAGTTAGTTAATCATCATCTGTTGCATCTTGCCGTACATTCTTGAGGTTTAGTCTTTAATCTCCATCTTTGAGCTGAGCCAAAGATTGCAGAATCAATCCTGGAATTGTTAGAGTTGCCAAAATCGACAGTTCATTTTATGGGGTCGAGATATTTTTATACATTCAATTCAAGGAACATTTTTCGAGTTTTTCTGGTCCAGTTGCAGCAAATCAATATACAGACACCCCATCAGTTGGTGTGGTTCAGGGTGGTCTGACTTTATTATAGCTCGTTTCTGTATTAGTGTAACACCGTGGAGACGTTGATGAAGGTACCAACCTCCACGACCAAAAATTAAGGGAGGCCGCTAATCCTGTGGCTTTTTGAGCGACTTGATCTTTGGCTCTTTGCTTTGCATTTGTATTGTGTCAGCTAGGAATCCTAAGATTTTTGTGGACTATAGGGGTGATTATTTGGTCCAGGCTTTTTTGTTTTATTCGAAAACGGACCGTATAATCCGGATTGAGATCGGACCAGAACCGAATAGCAAACAATTCAATCCTATTTTTGGGCCTAGATTTGAGATAAAAAACTATTTGGGACCGGATCAAAAATCTGATAATGATCGGATAAGAGAGCCCAACACCCAAAATTTAACCCAACCCTTTCAGGCCTCAGGCCGCTCAAATCCCCTCTCAGGACGCTCAAATCCCCACAAGCTCAATCTAAAATCAAGACTGAATTGGGACCAGACCGGTTTAAAATCTGACCAGATCAAGCCCGGACTGTATCCTATCCAATTTTTGGTTCTTATATTCTTGAAAAGATCGGACCGTGACCAGATTAATTATGGTCAATTTAACCGGACCGGACCGTATAGCCACCCCTAGTGGACTTAATGGTCGTTTGCTTAGTGTATCTGAAAAAATGAATGATGTGGTACAACTAGGTTTTGAAAAACCATTGAGAGTTTTGGTTCGGTATGGATTTGAAAAACACCATTGTTTGTTCATAGATATCAGGATGGATTTTATTAATTAGATTTGTATATATGAATCGAAATGATTTTTATTGTCCTCATTAGTATGATAAGATTAGAGGTGTGCGATTTCTCAAAAAAAAAAAAAAAACAAGTAAAGATGTGCAACGGATTGGTCTGCACTGTACCAGACCATACGAACCAAATATAATGCGGCCCAGTCATTGGGTGCAAATCTTGCATGCAAATACACTTTCCAAGAAGTTTGCACCCAATGCAGTCAAAATGCGCTTTAAAACTTAAAAACTTACAGTTTTACGCTTCTAGGACACCAAAACGCTTTCGTTTCCATATAAAATCTTAAGTGTATAAAATCGGGACTAAAATGCGCTTTAAAGCTTAAAAACTTACGCTTTTTACGCTTCTGGTTCACTAAAACGCTTTACGCTTTTACGCTTCTAGTTCACTAAAAGAGTATTCTATTCATGAAAATACTTCTATTTTAAAGGTAATCACAAAAAATATGATATATTTGAGATTACAAGATACATATCAAGTACTTGGGTGCATTCTTAGTTTCAATAGAGTAATCTAATTCACCAGCTATGCGCTTCCCAAATTCACTAGCATAGAGGGGAATGTACCTTATTGTTAAGATATATATTTATGAACTTATTGTTAAAATGTTATGAGTTTCTCAACTTTAGACATGAATTACAAGTATTTATTAACTTATCTAAACTATGTTCACTCATATTTTTGTACTTAACACATTTTTTGTTATATTAAAGTATGCGTCAAAAACTTACGTTTTTACGCTTTGATTCTACGCTTTACGATTTTACCCATTTTCCGCTTCTAGGTAGAATCGCGCTTTTGACTGCATTGTTTGCACCTATTTAGTTAACTAGCAATTTGCCCGACCGAGCATAATTTTAGACATATTAAAAAATACATGGGTGTAAAGTAGAGATTTAATATTTTAATATAATTTTTATGTCTAAGCTTAATTTTGTGTGTTACCATTCAATATATAATAAACTTAAAAATTTATCCCACGTGTTGGTAGCTACATAACCCCTTTCCTCCCTTTTCTATGTCCGGGGTAGGACACTATGCCTACTCTTAAATAGATTGGTTTTTTGACACCGCCTTCTTAATTGGTCAATTTTTCAATTAATCATTGACAAGTATTAATGAAGATAGACATAATAAATGTTTTGTTATTAAATACAAAGTAAGGATTAAATACACCACATTAATTACTTGTTTTTTAAAAAATCTAAACATATACAAAATACAATTCTCTCTCTCATCTTTGATCTTTCTCACTCCTATCTCTGATTCTTCTTTTCCCAGCAGCCTCCGACCACCAAGTTTCCTCCGACCACCACACTTCACCGGTAAAATCCCGCCGACAGACTCTCTCCGGTCACCTGCGAAATTATACCACTGCACTGATATGTTGTACCACTGTACTGGTATTTGTACCACTGCACTGATACTCAGATATGACATTGGTACCAGTGCACTGATATCGCTACCAGTGCAGTGGTATAGCTACCAGTGCAGTAGTACAACGTATCAGTGCATTGGTATATTTTTAGTAGGTGGTCGGAGGGAGTCTGCCAATGGGATTTTTACCGGAGTAGGGTGGCGGTCGGGAAGCCTGGTAGTCGGATGCTGATGAAAAAGGAAAAATCAGATATAGGAAGAGAGAATGTATTTAGTGTAGGTTTTAATTTGATAAAAAACAAATAATTAATATGGTGCATTTAACTCTTAATGTGTATTTAATGTGTGTATTAAATTCTATAATTATATTTAATACCCCAGGGGTATCATTTTTCCAACCCCTCAAAAGGGGTTATCATGCTAACCGATCCCTCTATGTCCATTTGCTTTCTTCGCCTCCTTCCTTGTTTTCCCTCTTCTCATATCAAGAACATATTAGTTTCAATAACTCTAGTTATTAAGAGAGTTCTAGTTAATGATCTTTATGTCATTTATTAAAACCACGTTTTCATCGGGTAAATTTCAAAGTTTTTTTTTTTTTAAAATGACCACAAATAAAGTGGTTTAAAAACTATTAACACGTATATTGTGTTTTGAAGGCAAGAAAAAGCGAGTCCGTGTGAGTAGCGAAAATACCCCCAACATAAGCGAACCCGCATGAGCCCAAGCGAATCCGCTTTACCCTCCTATTTTCTCGATTCGCGCTTATTGAGTACTGAAATGCGAATAAGCCTAAGCTGGCGCGAATCAACTTTTCCCCTCCTTTTTCTCGATTCACGCCGATAGGTGCCAGCACTGCGCATACGCGTAAGCTATCTCTTGCCAAACACCATATAAATATGTCCGTTGCAATTTCAATATTGCTCAACACAAAAAAAAAAAAATGTTACAAAGCTAAGCGATGAACTCTTCGGTTGCTACAAAGATGGCTAATAGGTAAGAGACACATTTATTTTCTTTATTAGTTTCTTCAAATGCCATTATGATTTTGTTTAGTTAGTAATTAGTGAATTTGTTTTTAATGTATTGATTTTAGACGATTTGAACTAATTGTTCGGTGGAAATCGGAAAAAGTAGAGAACAATTTGGGCGTCCATTTCGTTGGTGGTAGAAGCTTTTACTTGACAGTTCCATGGAGGGTGACATATTACCAATTTTGTGAGAATCTAGTTGCGAGGATACGGCGTAATGGCGAAGCAGTACGTAATGGCGAAGCAGTACAAGATAGTGATATGATCACAAGTTTCACATTCCAGAATGGCAGAATGGTGTTCTATTTCATTATGTGATTCCTATTGTGGATGATGATAGCTTGAATGTGCTTTTCAATTTTATGGCACAAAACCTTCATTGTTTAGGTGCTGAGATACATGCTGAGATTGGTCAGGGTCAGGGTGAAGATGAGACATGCAGGGTGGCATCTGATCGTGACTATGATGACAGAGAGGCGGAAGATGAGGAGGAGGAGGAGGAAGAAGAAGAGCTTAATTATCCTCCAAATTTCAACTTGCAGTGTAATGAAGAGGACGATGAATTATCATATGTTGATTCATATGACGTAATTCCAATGCCTATTGTTGCTTTTCGAAGGATAATTCTACAAGGGGCAGATATTTCACTCCAAACAAGCTGCACAGGTGGCGATTAAATATCACGCACTACAACTCAACTTTCACTATGTCGTGGTGGAGTCGACACCTTCAATCCGAAAGGTTAAATGCTTGAAGCACAAGGATGAAAATTATGCTTGGATGGTGCGGTTTGGATGTCGAGATGTTGGAAGCGAATGGACAGTGAGAAAGTCAGAGTTGATGCATTCTTGTACCAGTGCGACTCAACCGCCAGATCTTTGTCATCTTAATGTCGACGTTATATCTGAGGCCGTGAAGCATTTGGTACGTGCCTACCAAATCTGAGTGTACTAACTGTACAGACCGAGTTGAAAGATAAGTTTCATATGCAAGTTACTAACAAGAAGGCTTGGTATGGGAAACAAAGAGCATTAGAGAAGTTGCATGAAAATTGGAAAGAGTCCTACGATTATTTGCAAACGTTCTTGCAGGCGGTAAAGAGAAAAAATGCCAACATCAGTGATTGATTTGGTAAGAATTCCTTCATCGCCACCAGGTCATTTGATATTTCAGCAGATAAATTAAATAAACAATATTTGTGAAATTAAGAAAAATTGTCAACCAGTTCAAACAGTTGGACTAATAAAGTAAGTAGTTTAAGATTCAATTGTCAGGTAAGTTTTTAATCTGTTTAAACAAATGAACTAATAAATTAATTATTTTAAGATTCAATGATCATATCGATTTTCAACCTGTTTGATTCAGTTTAGATATATTAAAAAAATACATGGGTGTAAGGAAGAAATTTAATATTTTAATACAATTTATATATCTAAGCATAATTTTTTGTGTTACCATTCAATATATAATAAACATAAAAATTATATCTCACGTTCATAGCACATAACCCCTTTCCTTCCTACTCTCTTTCTATTTGCTTTCTTCTCCTCCTTCCCTATTTTCCCTCTTCCCATGTCAAGAACCTATTAGTTTCAATAACTCTAGTTATTAAGAAAGTTCTAGTTAACGATATTTATATTACTAATTAACAAAATGTTTTCTCCCTTCTACTCTCTTTTAGATTTGGGCCCGACCTGTATGCCAAAATTTAATTTTTGTTTTCATTTAATTTTTATCATTTTGAGGTATAATCGACAAATGTAGGGTGATGATTGATGTATATTTAACACATCAAAATGTTAACATTAGGGCCATTCAGTTATGCATTTGCCACACTTGACAAACATATTTCGCCAACTTTCATTGAGTACCCTTTTGCGTTCTAAAAGTATTAAAAAACTCACGTTCAATTATTATTGTAGAGTTCTCTAATTTTTTCCAGTTTTTCCAATCTTTATGTATAAAACATGTATCGAACATTCAATATGCATATTTTAAGTAATTGAACGATATTTTATGCCTATGTTCATTTGTTTCAATTTTGAAACTTCTTTATAACTGCTTTCGAAAAGGTGGCCAGAATGGAACCTCAGAAAGAGTGAATCAAAGTTTGATAGCAGATTGAGGTAGCAGTAGAGAATAAGTAAGGCAAGAGAAAGAAAAAAAGAAAGATGCAAAGGTTCTATAAATTCCTTCTTTTCAAAAGGTGGGAAAACACATAACATTGTTGTGTTTAGGAGAAATGGAGGAGGGAGAGAGAAGCCGTGAAGAACATAGCTGATAATGTCGTATTTGCACATGTTTGCACCCTTGTTTCTTAACCGTTTTGGCTCGAATTTGTGGTTCATTGACCTATTTTACGCTAGGTTGTGCTATTTTGTCAAATTTCAACTCTTAGTAGGTAGAAGAATGCATAGGCGCAAGTTTTAGGTTGTTTGGAGATCATTTGGTGGTTGGGGAGGCAAAATACCATCGTCCCTTGACTGAAGCACGACCGTGTTTCACTCGATGGCTGCTGGTGTTTATTTAGCCGAGCATGGTGATGATTCAGATGCAAATTATGGGAATGCCTTCCTAAAACACGATCGTGTTTCACCAACAACTCGCTCGTAATTTTAAAGACGAGGCTGGCCCTTGAAGAATGCTGAAGAAAAGCCAATTACGGCATGCGAAGACTAAAGCACGACCATAATTTACTAAATACTGCCAGTGTTTTACCAAAAAGCGACCATGGAATTCCCCTTCCCAACTTAAGTAATTTGAAATGAATTTCTCACCATTGAAGCTCAGATTGTGTCTTCAAGAGTGAAGATTCACATCCCAAAGTAGATTATACACATCATTATGAGTATGACTGCTTTGATTTCTATTTTCCTCTCTCTCTCTCTCTCTCTATGGAGTAAACCCCTCTCTCACTTGGGTATGAAGAACCCTAGTTCCATGTGTTAGGGATCTTGTTTGTAATGACTTTTGGATGTTATGCTGGATGATTTTAATCAATTGAGGCATGTTTATTGAGTCATTTGAATCCTGATCAAGTTCTCTTGACTTATGCTTTCATCTATGATAGATAGAATTTGATTAGGTTGATAAAGCTTCTTCAATTGATAGTAGTGAATTGATTGTACGAGAGTCAGTCAATTCACTGCTTTGTACTGGAATTCGTTACAAGTAGTGGAAATATGTGTGAATAACGTTAGCAGTTTATCCCAGTGAAGGCTAGCCGTCTGCCGGGTATTCTGTCTAAGAAGGCTTGGACAGCTTAAGAGACTCCAACCTATTTTCGGATCTTCCACAGTCTAATCAACAGTAAAACAACCAAAAGAAATTACAACTTGCACCTAATTAAAGAGCTAGGGGGACTCATTCCCGAGTGAGTCTTCTCGTGCTTTGGAAACCAAATAATGTGCTGCTTTCTTTCTACTTTAGTTTAAACTCATTCTCACTCAACTTTTCCTGCTAGATAATAGAATTTCACGGAGTAGGAAGTACATGTAGTCCTCGGTTTGAAATTTATTACTTGTCCCACTATACTGCATTTCTAGACTACGATTGCACTTGGTCGTAGTTTGGTGTTGTGTTTTAGCGAGTCAAAGTTTTGGCGCCGTTGCCGGGGACTCTAGGTTATTGTAGAAACGCGAACGTCTATAACTTTAGCATTTACTTTTCTGCATTTGTTTTTGTTCCCTTGTTTGCCTTCACGGGTTGTGTCTGCAGTCTATGTGCATGTAGTGAATGACTCGTAGCCAGTCGGGAGATCTACATCCATTAGGCCTAGAAATCGATCGCACTTGTCGCCAACTCAGAGTGCTCAAACCGAGACTGGCTACATAGGAGGACTTGGATAAGCTCGTTGTCGCTGACAGATTTGAAAGTGAAGAAGAAATGGGTGACCCCAATGTTGCCGAGGCGGTTGTCCCCGATGAGCATACCATGGGCTACTACTGGACCGCCAGGGCAACAAACATGATGTCTAGCATCCAATACCCTCAAGTTGATGCCAAAAACTTTGAGGTAAGCACCTCTGTTATCACTATGCTGCAAGGTTCAGTGGTGTTCCATGGGAAGTCAGGCAAGTGTCCCTGCACGCACCTGCGGTGATTCCACGAGCTGATCGATGAAATCAAAATTAATGGGGTCCCTCAAGATGTCATCCAGTTGCGCTACTTTCCATTTACTCTGGAGGGACATGCCAACTTGTGGCTGGACAACCAGCCTCCGGGGTGAATCAGTACATTCACCGAGCTGGCCAACATATTCTTGACCCGCTAGTAAAACATGATCCGATGGATGAACTACGGGATTTGGTGGGTTGTCTTGCCAGTTATAGTGCTCACAAATTCAAAAACATCGATCAGTTCATGGATAAGGTCTCAAGTAAATTCCTGGCAATTGAAGCTGGTCAGAGGAACACATAGGTTGTTTTGCAGGATATCCAGACCCAACTTGGTAGTGTGGCTAAAGCTATGGCACAAAGGGCTCCGGGTAACCTACCTGGTCATACGCTCCCCAATACTGTAGATCTGGATGCTAACTTGAGTGCCATCACTACCAGGAGCGTGAAGGTGACTACTGACATACTCGTCCAACCCAGTCAGGAGGAGAAGATACATACTTCAGCACTTCCAACAGGCGAGGAAGAAAGGGAAAAAGGAGATTGAGGTGACTGCTCCTAAGCCACAACCAGTGATGAAGGAGTATGTTCTTCATCTTCCTTTCCCTACTCGGTTACACAAAAACCGACTGGAGACTGAGTTTTCCAAGTTCATGGAAATGCTGAAGCAGGTGAACATAAGTATGCCTTTCGTTGAGGCACTGTCGTATATGGCCAAGTATGCTAAGTTCATGAAGGATCTCCTCACCAACGAGAGGAAGCTTGGGGAACTATCAACAGTGATGCTCAACGAGGAGTGTTCTGCCATACTGCAGATCGAGCTACTGCAGAAGCGAAAAGACCCAGGGAGTTTTACTATCCCTTGTATGATAGGTAGCTTTCGTGTAGGAAAGTCCTTGGCGGATTTAGGAGCTAGCATTAATGTCATGCCATATAAATTTTTAAGAAGCTAGGCCTAGGTGAACCTAGTAACACTAGGATGAGCATACAGTTAGCGGATAGATCTATCATGTGTCTTAGGGATATTGCAGAGGACTTGATAGTCATAATAGGGCCATTCTCATATCCTGTTGATTTTGTTATTCTTTATATTAATGAGGATGTAGATGTGCCTTTAATGATAGGTAGACCTTTTCTCGCCACCGCCAAGACGCTTATTGATGTTAATGATGGTAAACTGATTTTGAGGGCTAGGGTGAACAAATCACCTTATCTATTTCTCATAACCTGACACACCCCAAGCTCCATGATGATTTAGATTACTATGATGTGGTTGCCAATTTTGAGATCACACTCGCCAGCACGAGTGCGGGTACTAATGATTTCCTCGAGCGTTGTCTTTTGCTAGGAGATGTTT